CTGATTAGTGTAGATTTTGATCATGCCTGCCGTTGATCAAGACTGTATGTACATCAGAGTTAATCAGACTACTGAAGTAGTATAATTTATTCAGAAATTATTGTTAGGTATTATGAACCACACTCCACTATTCGTTGAAATATGAAGCATGTATATAGTATCAGCTTTAACAAAACATCTGTTACAAAGAGTAACAACTGCTCTGTTATTTCTAAACCAAATACCCACACTTAAAGTGAAGCAACTGAAGTGTTTGAATATATTTTCCTTGTCATCTTCGGCAAACTTACACTTCTACACATATCTGAATAGTTAGCTAATCAGATAATGCGTTTCGTCAAATTAAAAAAGTAACGTATCATGAATATGACCTTCAGAAAGCGTGATATAAATCATAACTATGATCTGTATTTTGGATTTTATAATTATATATTCTGAATTCTAGATATTATAGCGACTTAATAAAATCCAGTTATAATAAAAATAGGCCACTTGAAGCAAGTCTAAATCTAATTCCCCGTTGATTTTATCCATTAAAAGTGCGAAACACGTAAGGCTTCTATAGAAACAAGCGTTTACTGTTACTTTGAGAATGCACATATAATAAAAATAGGCTGTTTATCAAGTTTATTTCATAGCTGAAAAATTTCATGTACCAATGATACAAAACAATCCATCTATTATAAATGTAAAACTTGGGCACCGTGGTCGAGTGTAATTCCATTTTAGTTTGTTTATTAGAAATATCACACAGTGAAACAGTAGCATTTACTGGATGACGTTTTGGACATAATTTATTGTCCATATTCATATCAGGCAACTAACTCCACTACTTTGAGACAGTCCTTATATATTCCTAATTTTCTCTCCTTCTCTATGATGACAAGGGTAGTAAAATTTTCCATATATCTGGGACAGGTGCAGAATCATTTAGATTGCATGTGTTTGGTGTTGATTCGATAAACAAAGATTCGGTTATCAACTTCTCCCTCCACCCAAATAAGTTAGTTTTCAAAACTGTCACCTTATCCCACCCTAATATGTGATTGTGTGTCATCGCATGCAGAGCTTTGGCCGAGTTTTTCTCTAGGTTTCTTATCTTATTAGGATTTACTAATCTTGATTTAGCTCAGTTTTTGCGCTCTGTTATTCTAACCGATCGTGGTCGACTGCTTTGACCTATGTGCTTGACCTCGCAATCATTGCAAGGAATTTGATAAACCAGATTATTTTGCTTAATTGCATCGATAGGATCTTGTAACCTACAAAGCTTGTTTCTAAGTTAGTTTGTTGGTTTGGAATGCCAGTTTAATCCCAGTTAGCCTTACTGAGAATTTTTCGTAGTGCTTCTGAGGTGCCTTCCTTGTATGGTAACACAGAAGAGGCTTTGAATTCTCTCTTAACCCTGTCGCCATTATTACCACTGGTAGTGGGATTATTACTAATAACATCTGTATTACTGCTATTATTACCACTGCTAATATTTTTCTTTCGATTTCTTATGAATTTATTTATAAATTTTGGTGGGTAATTATTGAGATGTAGGGTATTCTTGATGTGTCTAATTTCTTGTCGCATATTTTCTGATCTACTAGTAAGCTTTTTCGCTCTTTCACCTAAGCATTTAACTAGGCCTACTTTAACTGAAATGGGGTGGGAGGATTCAAAATCTAAGTAGCGATTCGAATCGATAGGTTTCCTATAGACACTAGTCTCTAGATTTCCTTCTTGTGTTCGTTTAATCTTTCAATCCAATATTGCTAGCTCACCTTCTTCACTTTCCAAGTCACAGGTAAATTGGATTGCATTTACTACTGAATTTATATGTGCCAAGAACCTATCGATATGTTCCTATTTCGGTACTGTAAACGCATCATCTACATATAGGAACCATATCTTTGGAGTAGGAATAAATGTTTGAAGGGCCACCTGTTCCCAACTATCCATAAACATGTCTGCGACGATAGGGGATATTGGTGATCCCATGGCAACCCCTTCAGTTTGCTTATATATTTTATTTTGAAACTTAAAAACTGTAGAAGTTAGGCCCAGTCGTACTCCTAGTACGATTTCCTCATTCGGCAACTTAGTTCAGTGCGCAATTTGTTTGTCATCTTTGGGCCCATTTCGAACAGCCTCCAGAGCCTGCACTCCGGCTTACGAGTTGTCTAAATATTTAGCAATGGTGTTAAGTCCAATAAGAAATCACTCAAAGTCTCGACTTACCAACTCTTATGACTTAAAGCATAGGTTAGACGACATACACTTAGACAACAGTGAAAAAATGGTTAGTTTTGACATAACTAGCCTTTACACAAACATACCGATTGACATGGCTCAAACCCAAACGTAATACAACTGTGAGGCTAATAAATATCAAGTGTGTGGATAGTGGTTTCCTTTTAACAGTACTTCATTTGAATAATTATATTTATGTAATTAGGTAGCAATAAATTTCATATGTCTTGAGGTAGGCTTGATGTGTTGCAGTGTAGATTAAAGTAGTTTCCGCACTCCTTTAGCCTTGGAAATACTTCAGCAAACTTAAGTAAAAATAAATTAAACACTGCTGTATAACAACATAGTACACCGATAACAGTATTTGTCGTTTCATTTGCATAATTTCTAAAATAAGTTGACCAAAGATCTAAACAAGCTTATAGCTGTTAGATACATCAAATAGAAACATAAGTGATGATATTTTGGATGTAAACTCCAAAATTTTCTTAGGCTGATAGGGATTATTTATTTCTTCAGGCAATTTAAGAAGTTTTAGAATTCAAGCTATTTTATTAATACACATTCCGTTTTGATGTTGCTCACTCTTTTTTTGTCATGAATCCTCCGCTTGTAAAAGATTCTGTCTAAAGTGTTTTGTCGATGTTTGTCAAGCTGTCTAGATACTTCTGTGTAAAACATTTACACTGTGCAAGGGACGACTTCATGACTAACTAACAATAAAATATACAGTTTTCTGTACATCCTAGATCAATGAAAAGTGTTCGTGTGCTTATCTGATCCGCCTAGTGTTAAATAATGAACACAATGAATGACTAATCATTCTCAATATAAGGTAAGTCAAAGATTGTAAAGAAACTTAAATGTCACTATTGCGTTCTACTTCAAACTGTTTAGAAAAATTTTTGAAGTTTTATATTCGGCAACAAATTCAATACCAGCATCATAACGAGACATGCTGACTAGTTGGCTAGCTGAAGCTGTAGCTCCATTGAATGTTGATTGCTTAGGAAAGTCAAGTTATCTGTACAAGAATGACATTACAGGTTGAACCAGTAAGTACGTAAATATGTATTCCAATCACTATGTAAAGCATTAACTGAGATGGGTAGAAAACTTGATTAAAAACCACTTAGAGCACTTTTGTCCTGATTTAACTGTTGATTTGAAATTACAATATCACAGATTTGTTTAAAAACTGACTAAACCAATCACTAGCCATTTTCTATCTATCTAGTCTCATTTAACATTCTTCGAATTATGTGAAATGGTATTTAATACTGTAAATAATGTATAGCTGGAATGATTAATGATGAAAGCTGTACCAAAAAATGACTCTATCATTCGTAAACACAGTCATCGATCAAGGGGAGAGAAAAGTTTTAATGTATATGAAGTATTTCTCAAATAAGAAAGCTTCTGAATTGTTTCGAGAAAATCATGTTCAGTTTAACTCAATCAATATGATCTAATATTTTGCATAGTGCATTGAAATGAAAACTTTGTTCTCAACTCCATAATATATCATTTTTCAAAAAAGCACTTTTGATGGCTAGCTTTCGTCATAAATGTATACACGACTGCTTTCTAACAAAATAAAATTCTAAAATGTCATTTTACTTATTTTGTCTCATTTAATGAAATGAGCCACCAGTCTTAGTTTATTGCCATCATAAAGTCACATCGAGTTAACGAATATGAAATGCGCTATAGGGTTGTGTATTATTAATAAGGACATTGCAGGGAGTACAATAATTTTAAGCACTGGAATACAAATTTTAGTAGCATATGATGATTGATTCATATAAACTACGAAATAAACATCAGTAATAGGTTTCAAGGAAGTATACATTTATTCTAGTTGAGATCATACATCTACATATACATCAGAAATTATTCCCTTTTGTCATACTACGACTTAAAAAACTTGTTGGAACATTAATATTCATCAACGCTTATTCCTGCGATCAGCAAGAGGACAATCAGAGATTATGAATCAATGAAAATACATTTTGCCTTGGTCTGCGATCTGTTAGCTCTAGGTATCCATGACTCTATTTAGGATTGAATCAGCGACAATTAGATTTTTTATCCTGACTTTTAAGAGTCAAGCATCATGATTATAAATCAGTAAACAGGAGATGGACTCATCAATAATCGCATTTAAGAAATATATGAACAGAAAATTAGGAAGGAACAGGACTATAAATATTTCTTGCAAAAACTGCATATATATAACAAGGGTTTTCATTGAAGTATGCTCAAGGTGGAAACAAAAATTTTGCTATAAAACTCCAATGAAACCTAGTTTGAGATATATAGACTGTGGTGGCTCAGGTTTATTACGATAAACATTGTCTCCATCAATAAATGATGTGGTGGAACTCAACCATCGTGCAGTGCATGTGTAGATAGTATTAGTGTAAGAAACGTCGATACACCAGTATTTCTATCCTAGAAGACAGATAGATATTTGAATGTTGACCAGGAAAGCATTCACATTCTTTCATTCAGTCTGTAGTGCAAATCTACAAGACTGTTTTGGCAAACAGTAGTTGAATACTTCATTATATGCATTGAATTTTGGACTGTAATAAAACTAGATCAATATCATGCCACCAACTTGTTCAGTATCAGTGAAGTTCTGGCAGGAACAATCTATAGTGCAATAATTTTCCATGTGTTTGAACATTTCGGTGTCATGTTATTGGTCGGCAGCCTTGAAATAACCATACAAAAGTATTTTATATTAGATATCTTACCAGTTATCAAATATATTTCACCTAATACTGGGCCAGTCTGAAATCTGTCGCAGTTGTAAACGATTTGGCGGAAACGAGTGGGTTGCATATATTGCTTTGTATCCTGAGAAAATATCAAGGAAAATAAAAGCACCTTCACTAACTACTAACATTAGATAAATTGTTATAAATTAGTAGATTATATGACATATAAAACACATGAATAATTTAAAAAGAATGGAGGAAGGAAAATCTCTTTTTTCTTTACGGAAATGTAGGATATTGAACTTAAAAATGTAATATTTCTTTACCGATGTTGGGTAGTTTAGCGATTTATAGAACTTGTCCGAAAGATAAGTTGTATTTGGTGCTCCTGTAGTGCTGATATCTGATGGTAAAAGCTTCAGCACTAAACTAGGTAACTTCATCAGCACTAAGTTTATAAGAATTACTCTCTGAGTTATTCATTATTTTGACGCATTAAGCTTACAAAGTAAAACTGTGTTTATTAACTTAACAGATAATCTAAATAGAAGAACGAAGGAAGAATATGATTTTGGCTACATCAAGTGATAAAACGGATGCTAAAGTGAGTCAACGAAAATATTTTGAAGATCATACAGCTAGCAGAAGCCAAAAAAGTTAAAGAAACGTTTTAAATGTCAAACAGACCTTTTACTTACTCAAGTTTATCTATTTCTGATCTACGGAATATGTCGTTTAAGTTCCGCATGCTTTGAATTAAAATGGACATAGAACTTATCACAATTTTACTTAATCTACATGTCTAACATATTTAACTGTACCAACAAAATATATCTTCAAGAAAAGTATCATTTCAGAGTAGACATTCTACTGATTTTTGAACAAAGAGTGAGATTAATTGGATGATGTTTGTTTACAACTATTACCAAACTTGTAATTTTCTTTAATTATAACTGTTATCAACCTGAACATGCAATTTAGTGGCAACTAAGGTCCATCAGTATATAATCAAAACTTCACCACTTTGGTAGAGTATAGTTCTCCATCATATTACTTATTTGATACAACACACGATGATACAGTACTACTTACTGGATGACGTTTTGAGAAGGATTTGTTGCTCATAATCATATCATAATAACCATACAGCCTTCTCACTTCAAATTTTTGGTCCGACCTTTCTTTATTCTTTGCTTTATATAGTGGCTAAATCTTTAAAATATCTGCAAAATGTAATGAATCATTCCCGTTATACATGTTACGTACTGGGTTATTGGAAGAATCACCTTAAGAGATTGATTTCTTTCGCTTCCTAATACCCATGAATTATTTAGAAGATACAAAGACAATGCTTTGTTTGCATTGATAAAACGCTAAAAACTTGATGAAGATCTGTATCATTATGCTAGCACTTTACGATTACACCACTTTTTTTCAAAAGAAAACAGTGATCACTGTACTCAGTTGCCAGTGGACACTAATATGACGAACATGGAAGCTATACAATAGTTCAAAGTTGAAGTGATGGCAGGCATTATATCTCTTTAGGAATAGCCGAACATATTCTTATGTATAACTTAAGGTATCAATAACCGCATAGGGTAACACATTTGTCAATCATATATATACATATTGGAAGTAATCATGTAATTTAACTTCATAAAGTGTAGAACCTTGAAATTGATCCACCCTACAGATCTCTTCATATCACGAAGTGGTTTGGAGTGAAAAATATGAAGGGTTGGATTCCAACCCAGTGGTTGATTGGTAACCTGGTGGATGTGAGAACTGAAAGTCTTAGGTTTGAAGATGTTTACTACTGAATAGTTTTATACTAAAATGAAACGGCTATCCAATGCCCTCAGATTTTCAATGGTTCCCTCATTAATGTCAGTCCGTGATTAGTGAAATCAATCAATTTCTACAAACTTTCAAATTTAATTTAAAATACTTAGGTAAATTTTCCAATCTAATAAGATTATCGCTTAGATATCCCAAAACTTTCAGTATGGTAATGTTCATAGCTTCTTGACTTCTTCTGTTTCTCAGATTCTGGTTAGTTTGCAATGAAAAATAACTTGGAACTGAACAATTTTCTGAAGATAGCGTAAATCACTTGAATGCTTTCAGGTATTACGCCTATTTGATGGATGGGATAGACAATACAAGGAAATTTCTGTTCATATACATATATATATTAAGGATAAGATCACAAGATGTTCACATTAAAAGCTATTATAGCATGAAAGATTTCTGTGGAAATATTGCCTAGGTCTTAGACAAACTTATGAATTTATTTATTTCAACTAATTTTGTTTTTGAGATATTCAAAAGATCATATACGCCACTTTGTTCTTTCTTCGTATAGATGACGACTGAAACATGTTGACGACAATACCAAAAATGTTGAAAATAAGCTTTCTCTATATGTGTTTGTTAAATACGGAATGGAATATTTCCCAGAACACCTTTTATTCAAGTGATAGAAAACGTCAGTTGATAACTTCCAATGTATCATCCTTGCAAATGTAAGTGACCTATTGTACAGCATTGTACAAGATATACTACCAGGATCTTTTTTGTTTTTGAACTAACTTATAAGACAGATGACTATAAAGAGATTATACTTAACTGTGTTTCATTTACAATAGGTCATTGTACAGTTCTACCCCGATGATTAGTCAAAATGTAAATTATTATGAAAAATTGGAAGATTTAATAAGGTGATGAATGGTGGCAAGCAGTAGAATTCAGGATGCATCTTTCGTCTTGTTTAACACTCGTCAGTTGAATGTACCTGTCTTTCAGTGAGCGATTTTGTTCGCAAGTGAAAGTAGTACAAGTTATAACATATAATTAAAGTGGTTGGAAGTATAAAGTAAAGCTTTCAGGGTAAACAGCTCTATATGCAACGCACTTCATTGCATAACACTAAGCTAACTCATAGGTTATTTACCATCTTTTAGCTGTATACGTGTTATAAGTAAACAATTGAATCCAATGACAAAGATTTTGCTGGATGAAACTCATAGAACGCGAGGCTGAGTATGCAAAAGTAATGATTATAAAACAAATCATTTATTCTTTTCGAAACACTGGTAGAACATGATATGCTGCCTGAATCCTTTTTGTTTTTGAACTAACTTATAAGACAGATGACTATAAAGAGATTATACTTAACTGAAGGTATTTCTCAGTAAATTATAACCACTCACTGAATGGTGTTTCGGACGCAGTACACTGACCATATTCATTTCAATTTAAATCCGTAATTTTGAGATATGGTTTAACTTAATCTCATTTTGTCCCTCTCCCTGTGACATGCATTGTACAATCTTCCATATATCTGAATCATATCTGCTGCATGCATGTGGTGTTGACTTGATAAACAAGGATTCAGTTATCAAAATCAGCCATCCCACAACTAGATTAGTTTTGAGCACTGAACTCTGTCCGAGATTATCGTTTGGTTGCGTGTAATTTCATGCATAGACAAAGTTGAGATTTCCTCTGGATTCCCTACCTTATTAGAATCGAGTAACCTTAATTTAACCATGTTTTTGCTGGCATAGACTAATTGACAATAGTCAACTACTTTGACGTATGCATTTGACTTCACAATCCATGCAAGGGATTTGGCAAATCAAGTTATTTAGCTTGATTAAATGAATAAAATCTTCTAATCTACACAGTTGGTTTCCAAGTGGGGTTTCAGGTCTAAATGCTACTTTAATCTCAGCCTTATTAAGAATTCCCCGTACTGCTTTCAGGGTGGTCTCTTAGTATGTTAAAATTTTAGGAGACTTAAATTCTCTCACTGCAATGTCGCCATTTCTAATATTCTTCGTGTCATTATTAACGACTTTGTTCCAAAATCGTGTTAATTTATCCATTGATTTAAAAGGGCTATTATTGAAACGTAAGATATCCCTAACTTGTCTGATTCCTTGACTCAGAGTTTCTGTTGTACTAGTCAGCATTTTGACCTGCTACTTAGACATTTAACACACCCCACTTCAGCTGATATAAAGTGAGATAATAAGAAGTTTAAGTAGTGATTAGAATGTGGTTTCCTGTAGACACGAGTATCTCACCATTCTGTTGGTGTTTTAATTTAGTTCTACAGGCCACCATCAATAGACCCCTTTCACTACTTTCTAACTAAATATCAAACTGAATTTCGGTCACATGGATTTATTTATTAAGAAACCACCTAAATGTGTTGATTTCACTACAGTAGACGAACTATCTACGTGTTAAAATTATACGTTTGTAACGGAACTACGTGTTTTGAGAGCCATGTGTTCCAAGCCACCCTGAGGTATATTAGTATGAAGACCTAAGGCAATTTTTTAAAACTCTTGTTTATTTTACTTTCAAGCATGAAGACTGTAGAAGTCGGACAACTGCACAATTAGTACGATTTCTTCGACTGACAACTTATTCGATGCATAAGCTCATGGTCATCATTGAGTTCATGTCTAACTATCTATAGAATCACGTTGATCGGTATACTGGTTTAAAGCTGCATTACATCAAAACTAACCAATTACCCCCGTCAACTTATTGCATGTAACCTGACCGACCTATTGTGTCATAAGAATGAATAAGTTTGCATTTCGAACTGTTTCTTATTTAATCCAATATCATCAAATATTAGGACGACATTTGGAATGCTTCATGTATCTATTGTCGGTCTAATTAGATAACGTGGACTATGAATCTAACCCTATCAGGTAAATGAATTCTACCAGAGTTATTAGTTTTCAGGAATAAACTAAATCATTGTTCCTGCTTCATCTACGAAGTGCACACTGACATCAAAGTGACACAATGAGATGAGTCAAAATTTGGAATTCGAAGTTTTGAAAAGCCTTCATTATGAAAACAACGTAGTAATTAGCAGGCCGGTATAGAGAAGTGGTACTTGTACTGATCAAATTTGATAGCATTTGCAAACCTAAACGACTACGTAGAAACATACAGTAAGAATAAATCAGGAAATCATTGGGTATCAAATGATATGAATCAAACAATGAAATCCGTAGTAGTTTTGATACACTGAATGAAACCCTTTATAAGTGAGTTGAAATATTCAGACTTTAGGCCAAAATCCAATAGTCCCAGTAAAATTTATTGTTTTGTTTGACTGTTTAATGCATCTAATGAACAAGATAACATGCAAATTCAGTCCTTTTCCCATATTCCCTCATTCCTTCCTAATTAAATATGATGCCCAGATTTTCTTAAGGAAGATGCGTATGTATGACGGTATTGCCTAAGCTTTTGGAAAAATATTTAGTTATTGCCCCTCTAAGTTCTGAAATCCAGCATTATGCTTCTTCTAATGATCATTTACAGATCATCAACTAGTTTTACAGCCGAGGAGAACAGTCAGTCGTCAAGGAAACGTTGAAGCCTCTTCACCAGTGTCATTTGTTAGCAGGGATGATGGAGTAAGGCATCAGTGCCTTAAAAGCATCCAGTTTTACAATATTTTTGACAATTAACCATAGATAGATGTTAAAAATATTTTTAAGAGATTGTTTCGATAGGGGTATACTATAACTGCAAAAGTTTGGGTAGGTTTTGAACGCCTAATTAAGGGTTGATTGTTTTCTACAAACTGTCAGTTCGAGATGAAATGCATTCAGATGTGCGAAATTAGACTTTACAACGTCATTACGGTTTTTAAAATGTTTTGGTTATTTCATGTTGCCAATATGATGTCTTTAGCGACTTCTAAACTTTCAGTTAATCAGATTATGTGCTATCGCATAAGTTAATACCTGATTGGCTTACAGAGCATCCCAGTGAAAGGATTTCAAGTGTTGCCGGTTAGAATTTTTACCACTAAGTGATGGTTATATATATGTGGTTAGTTATTTTCTATCAGTTATTTCAAAGAAGAGAACGACAATCAAATGCATTTAAAGTGATGAATAATCTTACCTTGAAAACTTCGTAAATATAGGCTAGATAATGATGTTGACCATTTGATTCCACTGATTCTTTGTAGATGTAAACACGCATAACTGAAATTTAAAAAAAAATAGTTCAGAAAAAACACTTGGTGACAGTGAATGTTCTGATTCAGTTAACAGACATTGGAACCTAATGTTCAATACCAACAGTAATATATTTTTAAAATTTACATACGTACAATAATAACTATGATTATTTAACTATTAAAACAAATCCGTCAACGATACCCAGTGAGTTATTCACACATAAAAACTTTGAATAATGGCAAACTTGTAAGTTGGAGAGTTCAAGCAAAGTTATTTTCAGTTTGTTTCTGCATGGTTTCATGAACTGTCTGTATAAAGAAGTGTTAACTGTGACAAAACTTACGTGCTCAGTGTATTTGTACAATGAAGGAAGTGCTTGAACAGAAGACCACTTATTTAACTATTTGTCAACAGAAAATTTCCTAAACATGTAGCAGTTATTTCAAGTACATGGATTTTATAATTATTATGATCCAGTTTGAGTTTTTTTTCAAAAAAGGCGAAGTGTTTTGACTCGAATGTTATGGGAAAATACGAGCATGAATATCGTTGACAAACCGTTTGAAGTGAATTTTCAAACAATTTGTCTTTGGTAATGGTGACACCTACCAGTGGAATTCATAGGAAAATCATAGATTCATTATTGTCTAAATTCAGGTGTTTTATCACGTGTCAAACCAGACATCTAGGCATTAAGAACATTTAGGTGGGAAAAAGCTTTTAGGTGACGCAAATGAAGTTAGTAAGGTGGCTTACAGCTGCAGCATCTTTCACGAAACAAAATGAATCGTTTTTTATAAGCTAACTGAGGCTATTGTATCGGGACTGAAGCATACAAAAAACTAACCAGACGAAACAGTGTAATTAGTTTTTCAGTCAACTGAGAAATAACATGAGTGAAAAAAATGATGGTGCTATTTAATGAACCAAAACAAAATTTTATACGAAGGATGGGAAATACCATTTAAAATCACTTGGATTACGAGCAACTAATCATCAAGGGTTGATTACTTCGTGCTGTATTATTGTAAGAAGTAGAAAAAAAGGCATATCTACTAACTTGTCCGCTCGTAAAGCTGACGAAAGCACGTGTCATCTGATCTTACATGTACCCTACCTGATAACCTATGCAATAAAGTTGTCCTAACTACTTGAACAGATAAATTAAATATGATGTTTTTAGCTTTATTTTATGAAAGAGTATTGTCAAAGAGCCTATTGATTCCAAACTTATAAGAAACGGTAGCACAAACTGAAGGTATTCAGATACAGAAGTGGAAATAAAATCCCATGTCCCAGTACAGAAACGTTATCAAGTCGTAGAACCTATAATTTACAGATGGGTGTGATCGTGTATACCACCTATCAAGTGATTGAAAACAGTCTATTGCTGCAACTAAGTGTTAAATGCATATTGAAACTGAAAACAAATACTGAATGTCAACGTATACAACTGTATGATGTCATATTTTGACATCTACTCATAACCCTATATCTTAGAACAATCGTTTTATACATAAGATTCTGATTAGCTAAGAGAATGATTGGAATGACCTTATAAGTTCAATAAAAGGTAATAAAAATGCAGAAATCATGTAGTAATGTAGCCAATTTTGATAAAATGACATAAGACACCTTTTACATATAGCATATTTACAACAGCCATAGAATATTTCTTAAGGACATATAAAATTAAAAGATAAAAAGTTAATGTGAATTCAGTTCAGTACCCAACAGCATACCTATAACAGGAAGTTACAAACCACACCTTCCTTAACCTTAATATAATAATATTTTATCTAGTAGAGAACAGAAAAGATCAAAGTGTTATAGTAGAGGACAGATAAATTACATCAATTCAGCGCATATTTCTGTAAGATTTAACTTTGGTTAACATTATTTCTATTTTTGATGTACATTGATGAAAATATTCAGTCTTCACAAAAGAACCTGAATGTAACTGACTTTTGAAGGATTATGGAATTGATCATCCAATGAACAAAACGTTTTAATAGTTCTGACTTTGGACTTCAATTTATAGTATGAGTAAAACTTGGGCACTGTGGTACAGTATAATTCCATATTAGATGGTTTACTTGATTCTCTTATCACTCTCTTCTTTCACCCGGCTTCATTAGATTTTCGAATTGTTACCCCATCCTATCATATTGCGTGACTATGAGTTAGTGTATGCACACGATAGCCGACTTTTTTTTCTAAATCGCTTATATTAGAAGGGTTTACAATTGTATGCTCCTCTAAACTTTTGTGTTTCGCTATTCTGGCTGACCCCGATCAGCTGCTTCAACCTACATTACATTACATGGTATTTGACAGCTAAGATAACTCTGCTGAAATGCCACTCCTAGCTTTTTTTTAGCCTACAAGGTTTATCTCTGAGTGAGTTCGAGGGCTTAAATCCCACCTTAGGCCAAGCATTCTTAAGAATTCTTCGTATGGTTTTCGATTTGTCTTCTTTTTACTGCAAAGCTACATACGATTTGAATTCCCTCTTAGACACGTTAAAACTAACATCAGTATTATTACTGCTTCTTCAAGTATCCTTATCAACTCTTTTCTAAGTTTTGGTGGGTACTTATCAATTAATCGTGTCTTTCTCAGTGTGTTTCAGTGTCTTATTTAGGTGTCTGACTTATTGATCAAACTTCTAGCTTGATTTGTTAAACAACTTTCCAGGCCTACTTTGAAAGACGCAAAATAAGACCATGTAAAACCCAAGTATCTTCCCTATACATTGGTTTCCTTCAAACAGTGGGATCTAAGCTTTCACCTTCTCTCATCTCGACTTTTTATCTCAGTAAAGGTAATTCTACTTCATTTTCTAGTTTATAAGTGAATTAGATTGCATCTGATATCCAGTTAATTTGTGCGAAAAAACTATGGGTGTGTTCCGATTTCAACATAGTAAATGTCCCATCTACATATCGTTACCATAGTTTTGAGGTGAGTTCGAACGTTCCCGCATGCCATTTGTTACAAACTGTTCCTAATTATGTCTGCTATGATCGGGAATGTTGGAGATCTTATCGCTAGTTTTCCTGCTTGTTTATGTATATTGTCTTGAAGTTTGAAGACTGTAGAAATTAAACACAACAAGATCCTCAGTAGGATTTCTAAATTGAAGCTGTACTCCTATTCATGACTTCATGGTTAGTGGTGAGTTCATTTCCGACTACCGCAAGTGCCATACTATTTGGTATGTTTGCATCGAGGCTGGTCATATCTCAACTAACCATTTGTATCTCCATCATCTAACTGTGTATTGTTTAACCTCTGTTTCAAAACGAAAGAATTGGGTAGCCTAGATTATGAGCCATTTTCTACACTTAGGTAACTTATATATTGGTGTGCTTTTGAAGTCAACTACTGGTCTAATAACCTGGTTTACGAATCATCATGGTAACATGCTTTCCACCCGGATCATTAATTTTAAGTATCCAATAAAACCACTTGAGCTTACTCAGAGATGGCTTAATTTGGCGTATATGATCAATTAATGGGGGCTGAAATATCAAATAAATGATTATTTATTTTGATGCTTGGGTTTTCGGCAGCTGCTGAGTGTCACCTTTGACGCAGAGAAACTAAGCTAGAGCCAGAGTAGCTAAACAGTGTTATCTGATTTGGTGATTATATTTTATACTTTTTTAGCGTTTATAAGCCTTATGAACTTATAAAACGCAAAATAAATATCTTATCAATAGTTTTGATTAAACTGAAACGCCGAATCACTGGTAAGCTCTTTGAAATTGTCTATAAGTCTGCACAGCGCTTAAGTATACTTTCTTTGTCTATTGGTCATAGGGTAAAAGACTGACCATAGCATGCTGTTCGTAATAGCATGATACGGATACAAGAGTTCCAGGGGTTGGGTAGTGACACATCGAATGAAAGATGCAGTGATATGCATAACTCTCTTACACTGGAGTTTTTCTATGTAAATGGATTTACATTTCGTAATTTTCAATTTGCCCACAATGATTAAAATACAGAATCACAAACAACAGGCTTGTCGAGTTCAGGAGAAATCGGATTTCAAAAAATGTAAAGTGGATGGAAAATAAGTGGATGTGGTTAAATTATTTTCAGAAGTCTACACTATTAATAGCCATCTGGAAGTATATAAGATTAGTCATCAGAAAACAAAATTTTGATATTCTTTTAAACCAGAAGTTTGCTCTTTTTTGTGCCTTTCTGAACATTAGGTCAACTGTAGATCCGAATTTCCTCAATCGAATTAACTACTGACGTACTAGAAAATTATTCTTTTCACCTTAGTGGGACTGTGGACATAAATCTGACATTTTCGGGACGAAATTTACAGGGATGCGGTAAATAGTATGGAAAATATTTGAGGGAAAGAGACGTGAGACATGAAAAGTGGCTTCTTTATCTTCTTTATCTAATTTCCCTACCACTAAATGACGAATATATCTGACTCGCATATCAACTTGAGTAGAGGAAACTGGCTAGTTAAGTTGGAACCATCTAACTGGTATATAAAAAGATCTAATGCATCTAAAACGGAAGCTAGGTTATTGTTCACTATCTGCCTTTTCAGGAAATATTATATTCAGAGAAGGGACTGGTTAGGACCATACCATTATTTTAGATCCGGAAATCAGACAAGTTAAAAGTCCCAATTTGTTCATCTCTTTTCGGATAATGGACTGTGCGTTGCATGGCTATCAAACCTCAGGAGTTTCCACTGCACTGCAGCGCTCTGAACAGCTGCAGACTTAAAATTCTGAGTTGTATGTAGTTTTCAATTTACCATAATGAATTGAGCTATATCTTACCAAAAAGAAGTTCTCTTAAATAAAAATGGTTCGATTCAAAATAATCTAAGTCTTAGAAGTCAGTCTATTCACTGATAAACAAAGAATGATTGTTAGATGTAGTTCTTTCAAAACTCCATTGCTGAGGAACAGTAACAGAATTATACTTTCTGTATCAGATTACTATTTGTTATTAAGGTAAGCAGTTTCCAAATAGTGACATAC